TAGAATCCCTAATATGTTTTAAGGTATATTGCTTAATTATGGGGTTTTGGAGTCTCTAGGTTCTTCTGGTTGGCTCTTGGGGCTTTAATTTTTGGGGTTTCTATATGAACTGTAATGTGGGTCCCTAATCCCTAAACCCTAGTCCCTAAACGCTGAACCCTAAACCCTGGTTGGCTCTTAGGGCTTGAACTTTTTGGGTTTCTATATGGGTAGTTCTCCAAATTAGGGTCCTTTTTAGGGTCCTTAGGGTGCCGTACTATATTGGGGACCTAAAAAGGGACCCTAATTTAGAGAACTACCCATATGAACTACAATAAGGGTGCTCAAAGCTTAGCTTTTACCTAAACCCTAAACCCTAAACCCCTAAACGCTAAAAGCTCAGCTTTTAGGAGGCGTTCAGAAGCGAGCCGAGGCTTGGTTTTGCCATCTCATGGACCACAAGAGACCTGGTTGCTTAGGATCCAGGGTTTAGGGTTTAGGGTCCTGGGTTTCGGGTTTACGGTCGAGGGTTTAGGGTTTAGGGCTTTGGGTTTGGGTTTAGGGTTTAGGGTCCTGGGTTTAGGGTTTAGGGTCCTGGGTTTAGGGTTTAGGGCTTAGGGTCCTGGTTTTAGGGTTTAGGGTCCTGGGTTTAGGGTCCTGGGTTTAGGGTTAGGGTCCTGGGTTTGGGGTTTGGGGCCGAGGGTTTAGGGTTTAGGGACTGCAAGGGGTTTAGGACGAAGGGTTTAGGGTTTAGGATTTACTTAAATGTTCATAAAGAAGGGCATTATACTTATAAGCAATCTTGTTAGGATTTAGAGTTTAGGGAACATCGAGCATCGACTATAAGGTTCACCTAGTTCACAATACCCTGAACCCTAAGCAGGATCTAACAAGAACCCAGGAGAGGTATCACGGACGTGGCGTTGTTTTTGTTGAATATCTACAAGGTCCCCTTCTCCTCTCACAGTGGCTCCACTGCGTGGCCTGGGGTTGCTAGCATCTTTATGAGCAGCTACTTTATAGCGGGCTATCTGCTGGAAAAGTTGGATTGCTGCACCGTGGATGGTGAAGTCGACTGGAGTGACACAAGTGAGAGCAGTGGCGACTCCTCCAGTGAGGATGCTGCCTGGTTGAAGAAAGTGTCTCCACTACTTGCCTCCGATTGATCTGTGCGATGACCAGCAGGGCGAAGCAAAACACTGAGGCGTGAAACACAGACGGCTTGTTGCGTCTCACAATCGCTAGGGCACATCACATCACCGAATATACTAGAGTACTCCGTTCGTGCTATCGAGATTCAACTGTTCTGTCAACTTCGCAATCAGTTTTGCAGCGTTCCCAGCTGATGGATGACAGAAGTGTCCAACAATAGGATTGTGTGCCCGACGTAGCAGCAGAGACGGCAATGCGATGGCTGGCATACATTAGTAGTCATTAGGATACTACAGTAGGGGCCTTCATAATTACCTATGCTATTTCGTGGGCTCCGTATTAAGACTATGATATATAAGTGTAATATTTTGGGCCCCAAAACCCTAGTCAAATTATTACGGCCCCTACACAATACATCCCCAATACAACCCCTATCGATCCCTTTAAAGGGACCCTAAACCCTAAACCCGGTGAACATGGTTGTCTGAGTAGCAGGGTTTCCAGTGATGAGCCTGAGGAGGTTGATTGATTTCTTGGCCTTGAGCTGCGGCTCGGCGTAGTGCACGCTCTATTGAGCGAGCTTTCTGACCTCGTGCGAGAGAAAGGGGGCTACTGCAACCTCTTCTAATTATTAAGGCCCCGATCTTCGGTTCTCGGATACTTGGAAAGCATGGGAACGCAGAGGAGCCAACACACCTTAATTCAGGAATATACCTATGAAGATTCCTTAAAGGGTTCCTTAAAGGGATCTATAAGGGAATTCAGGAATATACCTGAAATTCTAGGGGCCTTAAAATTCTGATTGAAGGTATATTCCTTAGTTAAGGGGTATTGGGTTCTCCGGGAACCTCAAGAAAGCTGCAGCGCCAAGACGTGACGATTCCATGGACACGAAGCACAAGACCTGTGCGGTTTGAGGGTTTAGGGTTTAGGATGTAGGGCTTAGGGTGCAGCAGCACAGCTAAACGCGCTTCCTCGCATGTTACAGTGGACACAGAGAAGCAGAACTTCGAACAGATAGCAGTGAGCGCACGTCGAACGCCCGTCTTGGCTTAAGCGTTAGTTGCGATTGTGCAGATGCGCCATCCGATTTGTGTATTGAGGGGTTCAAGAGTAGACAAAGATAGGCTTTAAGACCGCATGGACACCTGCAAAGTCGCCGTATTCTGTCCGCATGCTGTGCTCGGGTTCTGATCGTCGCTTCTGGTGTAGCTGGCATGCCGATCCTCCTAGCACGACCTCAGCAGTAACATGTACGGCGCTACTTAGAATCCGAAGCCCTGTCACAGTTCCTGACATTCGGATGATGGCTGTGCAAAGCAGGCTGCGTGAAGCCTTCAGCTGGTTGAGCTATAGTAAGAGCTTTTCATCATTAGAGTAGGGTTTGGATCCCACTATACCATAATTGCATGAAGGATCCCTGTTACTTGGAAATACTGTGCTAATTGTTTCCTCAGTCGTTGTAACACTAAAGTTTATGAAAAAAAGCCTAAGGACTACTTTTCTAAACCCGAAGCCCTAGACCTGAGCCATAACTATATTAACGAGCACGAAGGAATACTAGTCTAAACCCTAAACCCTAAGCCCTAAAGCCTTAAACCCCAAACCAGTTATGTTAGGCACTGCCAAGTTCTGAGCGTTCAGAGACTTGCGCAGGTGTTGCTGAGGCTCGGTGGGGCTCCTGGAGGGCTTGCTGACTGAGCAACGATTCGCGTTTTCTTTCTTAGTCTCTGTTAACAGATGAGTTTGCATTATAGTACATTGTAGTATATGACGGTATGTTATATACTTTAGTATATTATCATATTTTATGGTAAGTTGCAGCGCGGAAGCTATTCTGAAACTCTCTGCGTGGTACTGGTTGGCCTGTTGTGCATGCTTGCTTTTGCGGCACACTGGACCCCCACACGCGGAGGATGTCGGCAGAAGCAGTTGAAGTGGCGGAGGCCAGGACAGATCCTTTCATTGCAGTCATTGCAGTTACTGTGGCCCGCACGGGCTTAATGCTCCTTCAATTCCTGAATTATGGGTTTTTGGGCCCTCTGGGAGTGAATCTATTTTCATCACACCCTAAACCCTAAACCCTCAAGCAAAGAAGCCCTCAAACCCCAAACCCTAAACTCTAAACACTATACCCTAAACCCTAAAACCCTAAACCCTAAAACCCTAAAGCGAAAAACCCTGAACCCAAAACCCAAAACCCTAAACCCTAAACCCTAGAACCCTAAAGCCAAAAACCCTAAACCCTAAACTGTCCAGCCCTCCGTGCGTGATAGACTGTCTGGTGCTTAGTAGGGAATGGGGGAATGGATCCCTATGATAGTCCCTTAAGGTCCCTTATAGTAGTCCCTATAACCCATTCCCCCATTCCCTACTAAGCACCAGACAGTAGAGTGCCTCAGGCTGCGCAGGCCGAGTCTGAGAAGGGCGGCTCAGCGGCAAAGAGGGTTTAAGGACTAAGGACTAGGGCTTTAGGGTTTTAGGGCTTTAGGGCTTTAGGGTTTTAGGGTTTAGGGTTTAGGGTTTAGGGTTTAGGGCTTAGGGACTACCTTAAGAACCCAAAACCTACTTTTTTGTAGGGTCCCTATAAATCCCATATTAGGGTTTATAATAAGAACCTACAAAAAAGTGGGTGTTGGGTTCTTAAGGTAGGGTTTAGGGTTTATAGGGTTTGCGGTTTGGGGGCCAAAAGTTGGGCTGAACGATTAGGCTTAATGGTCCCTCACAGTCTGGTGAAGTAGAGTATAATATACCCCAAGACCTTATTCAAAATTACCTGACTACTAAAACCCTAAACTCCAAACCCTACCAACACCCCCCAACTACCCCTTGTATTCGAGCTGAAGTACACCGGCTAGGACGGACCTTATGGCCTCCATTAAAGAGTACTTGGGTTTAGGGTTTAGGGTTTAGGGTTGGGAAACCCCTAACCCCTACCATCTCCGAGGCATCGTGGACGAGCAGGTTGACCTGCGGAGCCGCGTGGAGCAGCTGGAGAAGGAGAAGGTGCGCAAGAAGGGGGCCAAGGGTTTAGGGTTTAGGGTTTGGGGTGTAGGGTTTGGGGTTTAGGGTTTGGGGTTTGGGGTTGGGGTTTAGGGCTTAGAGTTTAGAGTTTAGGGTTTAGGGTAGGGTTCATCATGACATAATAGTTTAATTGCCGTGATCGCGATACTGCGAAATTACTATAGTTGTATAATGGTTATACGAGACTTGTTACAACTTTACAATATGGGTAGTTCTCTAAAATAGGGTCCCTTTTTAGGTTCCCAACATAGTACGGCACCCTTATAAAAAGGACCCCCAAAAGGACCCTAATTTAGAGAACTACCCATATCCGTGAGCCTTTTGAACCAGAGCTCTGAAGAGCAGTACTTCTGGTTACTAGTGAGGAGGAAAACCTCTAAACCCTCAACCCCTAAAAAAAACATACGGTTTAGGGTAGTTTAGGATTCAGGGTTCAGGGATTAGGGTTTAGGGTTTAGGGTTTAGGGTTTAGCTGTTGAGGACCTAAATCCTGCATTACCCATAACAAGGAATAGAGCATGATTCCCACAGTTGAGGGTCCTTCAGGTAATGCAGGATTTACATTATCAACGGCAGCCTAAACCTAAACGTTATTCGTAGAGACTCCAAAATTCCTCCATTAAGGAATATACTCCTTACATTATCATAGGATCAGTAAAGCCTAAACCCCAAACCCTA